GTTTTGTTTTTGGCTTTCCTCTTCAAAACAATGCCACCTCACGTACTACAGAGAATTAACTGAGGCATCAGCAGCCAGAGCCAGAAATGCCCTCTGTTTTCTTTAAAGGTTTTGTTTTTATTTAAGTATTTTAACGCATTTTGAGTGAGGCGTTGGTCAGAGCCTGATCCCTTGTCCTATCAATATTTCTCTGTGACCTCAGCCAAGTCACTTTATCTTTGAAGACTCACATCCTTTTGAAAAATATATAGGTATTTTGAGAGGAAAGATGTCGATGAAAGCACAGCAGTCTCTCTTACTATAAGATTTCAAAGAAATCCGAATCATTGGTCACAATCTGATTTGAGAACAGACTTCTTATTTGGGGGATGATTTAAACCACTAATAAGCTACCCATCATTACAAGATTTTGGTATATTATCCTCTGATTTCTATTCCTATAGCAATTCAGGCATAAAAGTTCCTTCAAAAACAAAGGAAAAATCCTCTTTAACTAGCATCTTCTCACCATCAAAGGGAAGTGATAGAGGTGTTAATGTCTTCTGCTTGGGTTGGTACGTGACTTTCATTTGGGTTAAATGAATGGGAGAGAATAAGAAGAAGGGAGAAGACAGGCAGAATGAGGTGGCCGCCGGAGCAGATGGAACAAATAATTACAATTCTGGGGCACCACGGTGTCCTTTTTTCCTTCCTCCTTGCAAAGAAAGCCATTTATAAATACATCAAGGAGAATCCTGCTTCGACCTAACCTATCCTTTGGTGTCACCCTCAGAGACAGTGAAGCATGGGTCTGCTCGCTTCTGAGTGGCAATTTTTATGTTCTCACTTATAGAACCTGGCTATGCTCCCATCCTGAGGAAAGATGGTTGACATTAGGTGAAGACACTCTTACTGCTCACTGCCCACCCGCCTTGGATCTCGTAACCCTTTGCTACCACTGATTAGAACTTCTCACCACTGTTTTCCAGTAATCAGGTGAGGTAGCTACAGCTGCTGAGAGATCGTGAAATTCTCGAGGGTGGGGTTTATGTCTTATTAATTTTTTATTTCTAGGACTCGGCCTGGTGCCTAGCACTTCAAAGTACTCAATATATGTTTGTAAACTAGCAAAAGTATGGTTGCTAACCTCTACAAAGAACAATCCCAGATGGCCGGCATCACTACAGAGAATGGCAACCACTTATTACCTCTGCTTCTCCAGCTGGTGCAGGGCACTGATTTCCTTCGTGGTCCCCCAGACCAGTAGCATCGGCATCCCCTAGCAAACTGTGAAAATGCAAACCTCTGGACGGACCCCAGACCTACGCAATCAGACACTGTGGTGGGGAGAGGCCCAGAAATCTGCATTTCACAAGCTTTCCAGGTGATTCTGATGAACGCTGACATTTGAGAAGCAGTGATGCAAGAGGAAGTTCAATGGTCCCTGAGTCCTTGCTCAGCTTCAGCTTAGTGGCTATATGACCACCGGAGAACCCCTACATCCCTCAAAACCCAGTCTGTACAGGATAAACAAGGCAGTTGGAATGGTGCCTGAGAACGCTTCTGGTCTAAAATTCTGCGAAATACCAAAGGTAGAAAGAAAGTAAATAAATGTCCCAATGACTAGGTTCATTCATTCAATCAGCAAATATTTATGTAGCAGGCAGTGTTCTGGGCACAGAATCAGTGCATGACACAAAATTACTCCTTTTTAATTAAATTTGTAACATTTCTGACCGCAGACCCTTACCTGTCCGCTGTCTATAAGATGCTCACATTGCATCTGTCTGCAAATGTGAACCAGAAAACTGAAGAAAAAACAACCCAAAGAGCTCTGGCCGCTCCCTCCCCGCAAAGGACTTTGACTTTAACTCTTGGGAGCTTTTGTGTTCGCTTAACAGCTTCGGTACCAACTGTTAGAAGACGATCTGGTGATAGTAAATGTGATGATCTATCAAGTTAGAATATCTCTGGGTCTATAGGAAATTCGTGGCACAAAGTTGCTTGCACTCTTAGGCCATTGAATTCCACCTAATTCTGTCTCCTCGTTGGTTCTTTCCTCTCAGCATTTAGTTGCCGCCCGCGCTGTTTGAGTGAGCTCCTGTGTTGGTCATTCTCTCCTTTTGATCGGCCTCCCTCCTCCACTGAACTCTCGTATGCCCCCAACACGCACAAACTCAGAGCGCTTAGCGAACTCCTGTAAGGTGGTTTAGACTAATTGGGATATTTAGTGAGTTTAAATATCCTTTTTAAAAAGGACCTCTTAAGAAAAAACAAACCCAAATACCGCGCTTGGCCACTTTTGCTTCTGACCTGTCCACATGTCCCTGCCTTTGAAAGGCCAGGAGATGGCGCCAGGAGACAGCAGAATGCCTTGGTTTCTGCCGGAGGGGGCGTCTCAGCCAATGGGGAGGGAGGGAGGGGAGGTGTAAGGAATAGACTGGAGAGAAGTAAAATTAAAACAAAGGTGCCAGATTTTGAGTAGCAACTAAGGAGCGGGTAAGAGGGAGTCTTTTGTTCATTTGTTTTTTGTAACATATAAGGGTCCTCTTGACGCCTACTCCGAATACGCCTGGTGACAATAGAAATGTCCACAGTAGAGCCAATGATCAAAATAAAGACAAGTCCCTGGAGGACGGTGCTTGCCGCTTGTCCCTCTCCTAGAAGCCAGGGCCTTTGTCCATCCAGGAAGTGCAAGGGCCTGGAGGGGCTGCTCACCCAGAAGTGGGAAGGTGCCAAGTGGGGCTAAGACATCTTTGTGAAACAATATTCTATTGTATAGACAAAAATCCCAAAGCCCGCCAGCAGCGAAACACTTTCCAGAAGGAATCACACAAAACATTTTCAATTAAAATTTTAAAACTTAAAAATGTCATAGACAACCGAGAGGTGGCGCCTGGCAAGACACCCCACCTGCCTTGGGAGGCTGAGTTTCTGTCCCCAGACGTTCCCTAGGAACTCTGAGGTCATTCTGTCTAGGCCTCTTCTTTCTACCATGAAAGAGATGTCTCTGCCTTTTTTTTTTT